ACTTTATGGAGGGAATAGGAAGAAGGAGGAGAGAAATAAAATTAAGTTCCAGTTTTTAGCTTAGGAAAAGATACCAAATAACTCCAGACATTGAGAACAATGTAAGCCTAATTATGTTTATTAAAAATTTAATTTTAACTCATAAAAGAAGGTATTACTTCCAATTCAAAGGCTAATTCTCAATCCACCTCTTCCTCCCTCCCTCAGCCTCACTGATGTCATCGTTGACTTCTTCCTTCTGGAAATGTTTTCTTCACTTGGCATCTGAGATGCTATGCCATGACTTTGTGGCTTTCCTGGTACCTCCTTGGCTATTTCTTCTGCTCTTCCTGCACACATCGGACCACCTCAGGGCCAGTCCTTTGATCTCTTTCCTATCTGTGCTCCCGTCTTAAGTAATCTCATCTATTCCCATAGTTTTGAATATCACCCTCACATGGAAAATCCCCAAATGTGCATCTCTACCTTACGTCTCTTCCCTGGACTCCAGATTTATATTCAACCATCTCCACTTTGATGACACTAGTAGGCTTTTCACACTCAGCCAGGCAAGAACTGATAACTAATCTCTTGATTCTTCACCTCTTGAAACCTGCTCATTCTCTAGTTTTTCCATGTAAAGGACTTAGCAAATACATATAACACTTATTAAATGCTAAATGTCATTCCAAGCACTTACATATATTAACCCATCAAATCCTGACAGCACCTATGAGGTACATGCTATTACTATCCCATTTTACAGATGAAGAAACCAAGGCACAGAGATGTTAAGCAATTTTCCAAGAGCTACATAACTGTTAAAAAAACAGAATGAAGCTTTGGACTAAAGTTCAGGTTCTTTATCACTACAGAATATTGCCATCTAGGCAAATGGCAACTCTATCCTTCAATTTCTTTGGAAAAAACCTTTGGAGTCTTCTACGACACGTCTTTTTATCTCACACCTAGCATTTAATCCATCTGCAATTTCCCCTGGCTTTACCTAGAATTCGATCCAGCATCCCATCCCTTTTCTTTACATCCATTGCCCCAACCTGGTCTCAGCCACCATCATCTCCTGCTTGGACTATTGCAATAGGTACTCACCAGCCTCCCTGCTTCCACTCTTGCCACACTGCAGCTGTTCTCCAAACACCAAATATAAGCAAAGATGTTTTAAAAACTGAAATCAGATCATTTCACTCTACTGAAAACCTTCATCGGCTCCCCATTTCATTTTGAATACAGTCTTGACCATGACCTACAAGAAACTACATGACTATCTCTTGCTAACTCTCCAACCTCATTTCCTACCCATCCTCTTTTAGATCATTGCCCTTTGGCACCCTAACCTCCTAGGTTTCTTCAGATAGTCCAAGTATGTTTCTATACCTGACCCTTCATTGGCTGTTTCTTCTGCTTAGAATATGATTTCTTTGGAAATCTGTTTGGTGCTTTTTATCAATTTACTCAGGGCTCTCATCAAATATCAACCCCTCACTAAGTCCTCCCATGAAATCCTGTATAAAATAGTACCCTCATGGACACAAAAGTGTATTCAACCACCCAAGTAATCCATCAGCATCATGGCAGAGTGAGTTGTTCCCTTTGTCTCTCCTCTAAGTTACAACTAAACGGACGTTCATTAACCAACAGAGGGTTCCCTACACAGCACGATAGGATGTCTTAGAGATCCACGCAGTAATACATCTGAAGATGGGGGGACTGGATCCTCAGGAAGCAGTGGAACTAGGTGAGCAGACCCTTCCCCTTCCCAGTGGCAGCGATCTAGGTCATGAGTCCTCACATGGTGGCTGTACGTGACTGTAAGAGGAGGTGGGGGCAGCCTAGCCTCCATGTGAACACTTTCAGAGTGGGAGCCCGGCCCACGGGAGCGCCCCCTATGCCGGTGTGGTCACACTCATGGAAACGCTCCTCACTGAGTAGTGTGGCTCAGCCCCCGTGAAGGAGCCCCCATCAAGCACAGCAGCTCAGCCAAATCGCCTGTGAGTGCACAGCCAGCCTGGGCAGGTGGAGGAAAGTGCCCATCCTCTCCCACCTAGTGCACCAGCTGGGCTGGTCCCCTGCCAAACGCAGCAGTCCCACACCAGAGCAATCCATCAACAGAGCACAGAGGCCCCACCCGCCAGTGCGTGAGTCAGCTGCCAAGCAGCTGTGGCCAGAACACAAATGCAGACCAGCCATACTGGAACAGCTTCCAGCAGACAGAGTGGGATAAGAAAACACGATTCCTACCCCCCCAGCAGTGGCAGGTAGAATCTGTGGCCTGACACTATCACAAATGTCTGGGAAAGGATCAGTTCATCAAACACCACGAAAAACTACAGTAACACTTCAGAGTAGAAGGAAAATGGCATCTCCAGAAACCAACCCTGAAGTCACGGAAATTTACAACCTAAATGACAGAGAAGTCCAAATAGTTGTCATAAAAAAACTTAATGAGTTACAGGAAAACTCAGAAAGACAGTTCAGTGAGCTCATGAATAAAATTAATGAGCAGAAGGAATACTTCACCAAGAGATTGAAACTCTAAGAAAAAAAACCAAATAGAAATTCTAGATATGAAGAACACAATTAGTGAGCTAAAAAATAATGAGCTAAAAAAAATTAAAAATGGGGGCTGGCCCCGTGGCCGAGTGGTTAAGTTCGCGTGCTCCGCTGCAGGCGGCCCAGTGTTTCGTTGGTTCGAATCCTGGGTGCGGACATGGCACTGCTCATCAAACCACGCTGAGGCAGCGTCCCACATGCCACAACTAGAAGGACCCACAACGAAGAATATACAACTATGTACCTGGGGTCTTTGGGGAGAAAAAGGAAAAAAATTAAAAATCTTTAAAAAAAAAATTAAAAATGAAGTAATTGTTCGAGAAATATCCAAAAAAAAGTGGAGCTTGCAGAGCTGTAGAAACAAATTAAGATGCCCCCTAAAATAAACACAATAAACTTCTATAAAAATTAGAAATAACGAGATAAACAAAACTACTGAAAATTAAATAATTGTCATGGAAGAAAAGTTTGAGACACCCATTATGAACAAAAAACAAAAGGGATGAAAAGATTAGTGAGCAGATGAAAGCCGTGAGGACTAAAGTTGTGCCAGTGGAAGAATTATTTTGTCCCAAAATTGAAAAATGAAAGGTTTCAGAGATATTAGAGAAGAAACCTTCCCCGAAGTAAAGACAGAATCGAATCTGCCACGCTGAAGAACACAAGAACTGTGTTTAAAGACAATGTGCATGGAATTCATCATCTTTCTCCATCACCTTATTTATTCATAACTTTCTGCATCACATTATTTATTCATAAAAAGAGTGCATCTACCTCATAAAATCAATACTATAATAAGTCTATACTCTAAATTTCAAGCTTTAATAAGATTGAAGTCACCAGAAGCAAAATTAAAAGACAAGGAAAGTATATTGATAACTTTCAGAAAATGTAGTAAATTCTCCCTTATCATTAAAGACAGGACAATCACATCAACTGACTAACACTGGCAAAAAATAAAACACCAATTCACAGAAGAGGAAATTTAAATGGCCAATAGACACGAAAATGTGTTCAACCACCCAAGTAGTTAGAAAATGCAAATTAGCAAGATGCATCTCTTTATCTACCACTTTTGCAAAAATGAGTGTGGGGAGAGGACTCGTCTCATTTGTCATTGAGGGGGGGATTGTATTGGTTCAGCTACTAGGAAGGCAACTTTGAATGATCTATGAACAATTACATATTAGTACTCTTTGTCTCAACAATTCCACATTTTGGTTTTTAACACAAGACGAACACATATATGTGCGTAAACACAAACAAATATATAATCGCTATTACGACAGCTTTTTGGTAAAAGTGAACAATTGAAGATAACAAATGTCAGTCAATAGAGGGGGATATGCTGTAAAATGATGTTGTATTGATTCCACAGAGAAGTACGTAGCTGTTCAAAGAATGAGGTGGATCAATATGTTTATTAAAGTGAAAAGATCTTGAATATTTTTAATATTAAAATAAGTGAAAATGTAAAATGCAGAACAGCATATACAATATAGTCCCATTTATTAAATACAAGCACACAAATTATGTATTTAGGAAAATGAGCTATATATGGAAATGAATAGATAAGATCAAGAAGGTTATGCCTACAACCCTTAGCAGGACGAGGTGTGGAAGCTGCTGGGGGGTGGGTGGTGAACAAGATTTTTCCCTCTATATACTTCCATGTCACTTGAAATTTTATGAACAAGAAAGTAATGCATTTCTGTTGTATTAAAAAATCAATAGATTAAAAATATTAAGTAATGTTATTTATCAGCCAATACTAGAGAAAAAGATAAGATTTCTACCATTTTCCTTGTCAGAAGTATAACCCGTTTTAGAACAAAAAATCAAAGTAAAAATGAAAACACCCAGCCTGCACTAGTCTTTGGCATCTTGGGCCTTTCTCTTCCTTTTACTTTCTTCCATCAAGATCAGTGGAGGAAGAGCCCAGACTCCCAGCCAGAGACAGGAACAGGCCCGGAGCAGACCGAGGCTGGCGCAGGGAACAGGTACGAGACCCCAGCACCCAGTGTTTGAAAAGAAGTCAGGGGTTTACCCTGAATTTTATATTCTCTAAACTCCCTTCCTTGAAATGACCGATGTGAAGGTGGAGGAGGTTTGAGGAAAATGAGAGGATTCAGAGGTCGCGAGGAAGAAGAAATCCTGCCACAAAGCCTCATAAAGGACAGCTGACTTCAGATAGGCCCGACAGCAGAGCGGTAGTTATAAAACAACAAAGTCACGTGCCTTGTGGCAACCGGACTCACACCAGCAGGCGGCCTGCTGCAGTTTTAAACTCCGATGTCCTCATTACATGTGCCTGCATTTCATTATATTGCACGTGAGCGTTCTTGTAAAGCAGGTCTAGAGAACAGGTTTAGTTTAGTGTCTAAACAGCAGCCTCTGAAGCAGCAGCGTGGCCAGAGAGAAAGGTAAACGAAAGCGGGGTAAAGACTGACCTGGCGCTGAAGTCGCTGCCGGCACCGGCCATCTTCCCGCCCCCGGGCCCTGCCTGGACCTGGAGCTTGGCGTCCGATCCCTCCAGCATCCCCAGAAGAAATCCTGCGAGAAATCTGTAAACCGACTCAGCCAGAGAGAGCTCCGCCCAAATGGGGAAAACAAAAGTGAAAGCATCTCAGCGTGCAGTGCAGACGGTGTCTCCCTCCTCCCGCAGCTTCACCGTGCGCTCAGCCAGCATTAGTCATGACGTGGCAGCGGGAATGGAGGATGAGCAGTGACTGTCAGGGCCTGGAGGGCCTGGGAAGGAGGAACCGGGCCAGCCCCCAGGAGTCACTTGTTCCTGAAGAAACACCAAAAACCTGTGTCTGGACTCCCCCCCGCCCCCCGCCTCCCCCCCGCCTGCCTCAGTTGCTTCTGCCTTCTGAGAGGGTGTCAGTTTACATGGGGTGGGGAGAACTCTGTGCCTGCCCCTTCCCCTTATCGACGTGGCTGTGAGGGAGAGGGAAAGACAGGAACTTCAATCTCTCTGGCCAGTGGGAGAGCCTGGACCAGACCGAGTTAGGTCCCAGCATGCAGACACAAAGCTGGAGAAGCAGGCATCATCTAGGGCGATGGTTTCCACGTTACGTTCCGCTGAATCCTGCTTCCTCTGGCTGTTAATAAGGGCTCTCCCAATTACATTTGAAGATACAGGGCACGTTTTCTTCCCTCTCTTCACTTCCGTTCTTTCTTACTCCCAAAGGAGTGGACATCAACCTGGTTGGAACAGATTCCAGGACACTGATGAGACGTCTTTACCTGTGGGCAAGGCCTGTGTGTTCCAGTTGCTACACACACCTGGACCTCTCTCTCTCTCCCCCTCTCACTCTGTGGAGTGGAAGGGCTGGTAAGCTAAACCTCTGTTGGGTACAACTGTCCTCTGCTCCTGGCCTCCATGGGGCATGTGGCCCAGACACAGCCTGGCACAGATGACACCATACTTTTCCAGTATCCCGTCTCTCTCCTTCTCTGTCCCTGGGCAGCAGGCTGACCCAGGCACCCATAGTGCTGCGTGTTGGCATAAATGTGCCAGCTTTTCCATGGGTCTGCTTAGGGTCACCAAGATGCCAACTAGGAGCTGGCTGGGTGGGAAATCCGCAGACACCCGCCCTCTTGGGGTGGGCACTCCCACGCTGGGGCTGCTCCTGGCTGAAGGGGGGGAGATGCTCCTTTGGGGCTGGAGAAAGCTGGGCACGCACCACGCTCTGCAAGAGCAGCGGTGGTTTATGAGGAATCAGGAGGCCTCTGTGGGGAAAGCAAAGTTTCTTTGACCAGGAAACAGTGTCAGGCCTGCCTGGGTTAAGGAAAGGACAGAGCCAACTTAAGAAGCAGGTGGAACTCCTAAAAGTCCTGCTGGACTGACTTAAGGGAAATAAGGGGATGTTTGAGGCATTCTCCACGGCTACAAGGAGCACTGAGAACAGAGACCACTTTTGCTGTCATAGGAGTAGCTGGGCTCTGGGACCTGAAACCTGGAAAGCAAGAGAGGCCGAAATTGAGGAGGGACCAGGGGGCGGAGGACTGACCAAGGGGACAGACTTCATCAGCTTCACTCGGAGCAGCTTCCTCTCAGATTCAGTAGTGGGGCTGAGTCTGCACCCTGGGAGAGCCCTGTGGGGACTGGAGGTTTGTCCCTGAGATGAAGCAGTAGCATCCTGGACCTGAGAATTGAAAGACCTGAGGAAGTGGCAGCAGCAGCAACAGCAGCCACTGGGGCAAGAGGACCAGACCCTGGGTACCCTGCATGGATGCAGAAACGGAAGGGACCGTGGTGGCTGGGACCTAAGTGGGGACACCCAGGCCCCACTGCAATGTCCCCTTCCGGGGGTGGCACATCAATCAGCGGGACTCGCCTGGTCCCCCTGCCTCCTCTCCTCCCTGGGGAGACTCTCTGGTTGGGGGTCCAGTGGAAGGGGTGAGTCTGCTCCTTGGTGGGTCTCCCTGGGCTCATCCTGCCTAGAGAGGCCAGGGCTCTGTCGGCTCCTCCAAGGTCAAGTGCACAGGGACAGGGGCCTGCGGGGCTGTGGTTGATTGGAGCAGCCTGAGGCCATGTGCGTAAGCCCAGTTCTGGGGTTCAGTTTTAAGGATCCCTTTTTTGTTACGCACTAAACCACGACCCCCAATCCCTCTTTTATCAGGAAGAAAGTTGGTATTTTGATCCCCATCTGTCTCGCCTTTTTCCTGTCACTTGGTTTGGAACTCAAGTGGAGGAGACATGGAGGGTTATACGCAGAAATTGGGGTTCCTCTGTGACTATCTCCTTTCTGGGATTCCCCCCACCCTTGCTCCCTGTAAAGCCTTGGGCTTCTTCCCTGGCTCTGCTGACCGGAAAGAAGGTGGGCTTTCTGCCAAAGTTTGGGTCTCCCCATACTAGTCTGGGGCTGCTCTCAGAGCCAGGCTTATAATAAACAGGGAACATTTCACTCTGGCTGCTTCCCCTGAGTTTTGACTTTCCTCCAAAGTCAGCCTGCTCTTGTTCCCTTTCCAGAAGCCCCAGACAGTTGTTCTTTGAGAATGGTCCAGAGTTTCTGTGAGAGGCCGGTTGGTTAGGGGCTCGCTCCTGCGCATCTAAAGCAGAGCTCTTTGTCCTCACCCCTAAGCAGCAGACCAGCCCCGTCACTCCCATACCCAGCCCTGCTTCTGGAGACCCCAGTGGTTCCGGAGCCCCCTGACCCCCTGCTCAAGGAAGAAAGAAGCTACTGTGCAGTGGATCAAACAGAAAGCACACCTTCATCAGGAGATGCACAAGCCGGAACTACGCGCAGTTTGTACTTTTGTGCTCATGGGAGCACAAATACACACCTATTTAGAGTGGGCTTATTTCAAGAAACAAAATAAAAGCAAATAATATGCCTGGCGAAAAGACACAGATTATTCTAGAATTTCAGTTGGAGTTAATACTTACAACATTCTATACAGATGAGACATATGAGTTGTTGCCAAGTAGCCTAAAAATACATAAATATTTTTTGTTAAAGGAGAGTAGTGAGCAGTCAGCATTGAACCTGGTTTTTGCTTCAAGGACTTGTCTATACATCTGTCTCTTTCCAAAGGATTAGGGCCACAGCTTTCCCTCTGCCTCCTTCCTGCTTTAACTTCCGTATACATGTAACTGGAGAAGAAAGTCCACCCAACTGTGTGTGTGTGAGTGAGAGCTCGGCCTAATAGGAAACAAAACCAGACAGTTTCGGTTCCTGGACTCTGATCTGGGGCCTTATGAAGCATTTCAGAGTCATCTCCCCACCCAGTTTACACGGAGAGCGTGGGGAGGTCCAGTCCCCTCCTCCCAGGCAGAAGGCGCTTCTCTCCAGCACAGCAGAGCAGGGCGTGTGCTGACGTCCAGAGGAGCCGCACTGGGAGATTCAGGCTGAGGGGTTGTTACCAAGAGCCCCAGGACATCAGGGGCACCAGGCCCTCCTGCTGCTCCCAGACACAGGCACACTCTCTTAGCTAAGACCACAGCCCAGCAGCCCAGCATCGCAAGAAACAGCCCACATCTGAGTCCTGGTAAACAGGGCTGACAAGGGTGATAGGCTTAGTGACCTTCCTTGCCCTTGGCTGTCCAGTGGGATGGGGTGGATGCCCTCCCTTCTAGAATGATGACCAACTCAGCCTTTATCTCCACAGCACAGAGCAGTGGGAACACAGTCAACCTGCTCCATGAAGGAACCCCCAGGCTCCGAGGTCCCTATGGCTGGGCTTGGACTCTTGGCCCCATTCCTCCTGTTAGATAGCAGGTCCCACCTCTGGAAGACCCCCGGGTGGGTTCCATACATCAGCATGTTTCCTTGGGCATCCAGCCTCCTCCTCCCTTTCCTAACAGACTTCGGATCTCTTTGGCTGGATGACTTTTCCCCTTTGTGTGCAGGAGTAGAGAGACTGCTGATCAAGACGCTGGCCCTTGAACAAGCCAGGCCAGCCGGACTCTCTTTGGGGAGTTGGACTCTGGAGTGATGTTTGTTAAGGAGTTAAAAAAACCCGTTGCATAACATTCATTCTGTGGCAGCTCCTTAATGAGATGACTCAGTTGTTCCTGATGTGAATTCCTGGAGTTGCTCTGGTTCCCTCTCTGGTTCTGGGGCTGTTTGCGGTCTCAGTGGCCACCCTTTTATCCTTTCTGTGAGTCACTGTGCATCTCATCCGTGAAGTCTCTTTTCGGCTAATCTAGATAAAGTTGGTCTTGCTGGCAAAGAGCCCTAATTGATACGAGGACGTTTGTGTGTAAGTTTTCTTAGCTTATTTCCTTATTGCTTTCAGGTTCAGGCACTTTCTAAGTGCATAACAAATATTAACTCATTAATCCTAACAATGATCCAGTGAACTAGGTACTTCTAGTATCTCCATTTTATAGATGAAACCACTGCATGAGGGAGGGTAGGTAACTTCCCCAAGGACACACAGCCAGTACATGGGGAGCTGGGTTTCCACCTACACAGACTAACTGCAGGGCCTGTTCTCTGTCCTCTAGGCTCTGCTGTCTCTCAGAACAAATTAGCATTGTTCACAACACCAAAGTAATCAATAGGAGCCAAGTGCAATGGAGACCTGATGAAAAATAAAAGCTATATAGGGATGATATAGAACTGTATTTACTGACATTTAACAATGGCCATTATATACTATTAAGTGGAAAACAATGATTAGAATCCATTTTATTATTAAAATGGTATAATCATTCCCCTGTGCCCTCCCCCTCTATGCACATTACAAAGCCTAGAATCATTTTCATCAAGTTGTCAACCATGCATATTCACCTTACCTGGAGAGGACTCTCAAGCATTGTGCTTCTTAGGAGTAGGAGATGCAAGGAACAATAGCTTGGAGCTTTGGAGGGAATATCTTGATTTGCTGCAGACCCTGAACCCCTAAAAACCTATATGGCATGTCTCTGAGTCTTTGTAGGGTTTCTTTCTCATCATCTGGAATGCATGTGACTTAGTACAGCTTTCAGAATACTCAACACTTCTTGCTCATGAGAGCTAGTCACTGTGATGGTCAATTTCATGTGTCAAATTGACTGGGTCATGGGGGGGGGGGGAGGCCCAGATTAAACATTATTTCTGGGCATATCTTTGAGGATGTTTCTGGATGAGATTAGCATTTGCATCAGTAAAGTAGATTGCCCTCCCCAATGTGGGTGGGCATCACCCAGTCTGTCAAGAGCCTGAGTAGGTCAAAGAGTGGAGAAAAGG